GTGGAGGAGGAGGAGGAGGAGCAAACGCAGGACGAGAAGCAGGAGGAGGGGGAGGAGGAGGAGGAGGAGGGGGAGGTGGTGGAGGAGGAGGATGAGGAGGCGGGATGAGGAGGAGGAGGAGGACGTTGAGGAGGAGAAGAAGGAGCAGAAGGAGGAATATGAGGAGACGAGGAGGCGGAGGAGGAGGAGTAGGAGGAGGAGGAGGCGGAGGAGGAGGAGGAGGGGGAGGAGGAAGAGGAGGCGGAGGCGGAGGCGGAGGAGGAGGAGGAGGAGGCGGCGGAGGAAGCGGCGGCGGAGGCGAAAGCGGAGGCGGGGGAGGAGGAGGACAAGGGGGACAAACAAGAGGAGGAGGAGGATGCGGATGAGGAGGAGGAAACGCAGGAAAAGGAGGAGGACGACGAGGACAATGGCGCGCTGCTGTCACGTGCGAGGATGATGCTGATGATGATGCTGATGATGATGATGATGATGATGATGATGATGATGATGATGATGATGATGATGATGATCATGCTGATGATGATGATGATGATGATGATGATGATGCTGATGATGCTGATGATGATGCTGCTGCTGATGGTGATGATGATGACGATGCTGATGCTGATGATGCTGCTGCTGTTGATGCTGATGCTGATGATGATGCTGCTGCTGATGCTGCTGGCGACGATGATGCTTTTGACGATGATGATGCTGATGATGATCATGGTGGTGGTGATGATGATGACGATACTGATGCTGATGATGCTGAGGAGGATGATGCTGCTGATGGTGGTGACGATGATGATGCTGATGATGATGCTGATTATGTTGATGCTGATGATGATGCTGGTCATGATGCTGCAGATGATGATGATGATGCTGATGCTGCTGATGGTGATGATGATGATGGTGGTGATGATGATGATGACGATGCTGTTGATAATGACGACTATGTCGATTATGATGATGATGCTGTTGATGATGATGCTGATGCTGATGATGATGATGATGATGCTGGTGATGATGCCCCATGGTGATGATGATGCTGATGAGGATGCTGATGATGATGCTGATGATGATGATGATACCGGTGGTGGTTATGATGATGATGCTGATGGTGATGCTGATGACGATGCAGATCATACTGGTGATGCTGATGATGCTGATGATGATGCTGATGATGATGCTGATGACGCTGATGATGATGATGGTGATGATGGTGATGATGATGCTGATGATGATGCTGATTATGCTGCTGCTGCTGCTGATGATGATGCTGATGCTGATGATGCTGATGATGATGATGATGATGATGATGATGATGATGATGGTGATGATGATGATGATGATGATGATGATGATGATGATGCTGCTGCTGCTGCTGATGATGATGATGATGATGATGATGATGATGATGATGATGATGATGATGATGATGATGATGATGATGATGATTAGGAGGAGAAGGAGGAAGAAGAGGAGACGGCGCAGGGGAAGGAGGAGGAGCAGGAGGAGGAGGAAGAGGGGGGGAGGAAGGAGGAGGAGGAGGAGGAGGAGGAGGAGGAGGAGGAGGAGGCAGGGGAGGGGAGGAGGAGGAGGAGGAGGGAGCAGGAGGAGGAGGAGGAGGAGGAGGAGGAAGGAGGAGGGGGAGGGAAGAGGAACAGGAGGAGGAGGAGGATGGAGGAGGAGGATGGAGGAGGGAGGAACAGGAGGGGGAAGACGAGAGAGCAGGAGAAGGAGGCGGCGGAAGGGAAGAGGAGGCGGCATTGAGGAGGAGGAGGAGGAAGAGGAGGAGGAGCACGTGGAGGAGGAGGAGGAGGGAGGAGGAGAGAGGAGAGGAGGAGGAGGAGGAGGAGGAGGAGGAGGAGGAGGAGGAGGGGGAGGAGGGCTGAGGCGGAGGAGGAGGACGGGAGCGGGCAGGCGCCTGATGATGATGGTGATGATGATGATGATAATGATGATGAAAATGATGATGGTGATGCTGATGATGATTGCTGATGCTGATGCTGATGCTGATGCTGATGTGGATGATGATTCTGATTGCTGATGCTTGATGGTGATGTCATGGTGGTGATGGTGATGATGCTGCCGGCTGATGATGATGATGTTCTGTTGATGATGATTAGGAGGAGGAGGATGAGGATGAGGATGAGCTGTGATGATGGGTGATTATGATAATGATCATGATCATGGATGATGATGATGATGATGATATGATGAGGATGATGATTGATGATGATGAGGATGATGAGGAGGAGGAGGAGGCGGGAGGAGGAGGAGGAGGAGGAGGAGTGAGGAGGAGGAGGAGGAGGAGGAGGAGGAGGAGGAGAGAGGAGGAGGAGGAGGAGGAAGGTAGGAGGGGGAGGCAGGAGGAGGAGGAGGACGGAGGAGGAGGAGGAGGAGGGGAGGAGTGGGGGAGGGGGAGGAGGAGCAGGAGAAGGAGGAGGAGGAGGACGAGGCGGAGGCGGAGGAGGAGGAGGAGGCGGAGGAGGAGGAGCAGGAGGAGGAGGAGAGGGAAGAAAAGGAGGAGGCAGAAGAGGAGGAGGAGGAGGAGGAGGAGGAGGAGGAGGAGGAGGAGGAGGAGGGGGAGGAGGAGGAGAGGGAGGAGGAGGAGGGCAAGCTAGGTGCGCTCGCGTCATATCCGACGTCCTACCCCTCCCCCCCCATCCCTTACCATGGCGTAGGTCTCCTCTCTATTCGCACCATCGGATGTCGCAGCATGGCATGGCATTGCATGACATAGCATGATGTCGAAGATCAACGCGTAGCATGACATAGCACAGCGTGGCGACGCCTCAAGGTGGGGGGGGGGCTTCTGTGTCCCCAAAAATCAACGAATCGACACCGAATGTGTAATCATTTCCGATGGTTTCTTCGGGAGGCGATTTTCTAGATTTTAGGGCTTACGCAGTTGGAAGGACCGAACACATGCCGTGGCATGGCGCTGGAAATCATGACGCCAGCGCTGCATCGGGAGCACGATTCGTAGCGAGCGGAAGCGCGGAAATGAGGTCAGTGCTGTAGCGGGAGCACGATTCGGAACGAGCAGTCGCCCGAAAATGCGGCCACCGCTTCAGCGAGAGCAGCACTTTGAAAATTAGCCTGACGAATGACCCAACCATATGCAGGTGTGAGTACCGCAATTGTGATTCACTTTCTCGGTGGTGATCCCTATGAGGCAACGAACCGTGCTAGGGGTGTGCCGAAATGAGTGGCGTGGTACACAACTCGAACGAGAACATATGATCTGAGTACGTAGGGAGACTGAGCGCGGGTGAATCTGAGCGCGAGTGCGTCTGACTGTGAATGAATCTGCGCGCGAGCGAGTCTACGTGCATGAATGCGAGTATGACACAGCATGGTGTAATTGTAAATGAATGTCAATATTTTGAAAATGGCTGCCTCTGAGTACTCGTGACGCTGGGCGTGGCCG